TTAAGTAGCTGCCAGCTTTCTGATGGTTTACATTATGTTATAACAGAACCATTTTCTGGAATGGTTTTGGGCAAACAATATAATTATAATCCTAAAGTAGAATGAAATATAAATATATAAAGTTATATTTTTAATATTGTGTTCAGTGCATACTAGTTTAGTCCTGTTTATATTAGTGTTATATCAGCACTGCTTGTGACTTTCTAGCTATCTGCCCTACAGTGATCTGATCTAGAAGTGTACTGGGCTCACATAAGTGATCCACAAGTGGAACAGTGCTTGTTATTGGATGCAGAAAAAGCTATTTAAGGACAAAGCAGAAAGAATGAGCACTACAAAGAAAAGGACTACCACAGATAAGACAGAAAGCATACTTTTAAGAAAAACCCTATTTGCCACATTCAGGTTTCCCTAATTATAGTTGTGATAGTTGGGATCAAAAATCTTGGCAAAATACTGAAAAAAATAAGACTTCCCACTTCACAGGAAGATAACAAGAATATGGATTGTGCACTTCAGTAATAAAGTCTGTAAGACTTGGCTTTTATAAATAATTTGTTGTTTTGCAAGTATAGTCTGAAAAAAAAGTATTTCTCTCTCTCTCTCTTTTTATCTGATTGTAGAAAATGGGTATTCCATCCAAGTTAATTGTTTGTGGAATGACATCCAGTGGCTTTACTGTTGCAGACCCAGATGACAGAGGGATGCTGGATATTTGTGGTTTTGATACAGGAACACCCATTGTCATTCAAAACTTCATTTTGGATTTGATCTAAACCTGTGAGCACCCTTTTTTCTAAAGCTATTAACTTCCTGAAGAATTGACTGGGACCTATCAATTGAATTAACAAGACTCTATTAATTCAAGGCTAAGTTTCATACCCCTGTTGGAGTGTTAACATTTTAAAAGAGATGTAAAAACAGCCAGTGGAAACTCTACTTTCTGAACATACTGTTTACATCTGTTGTGCATAATTCTAGGTTTCTTATTGCTTTTTAGAACTAAATATGGAATACAGTGAATGCTTTTAATTTTTTATATTAGTTTAACTATGACAATGTATTCCATTACTGAAGATTTTATTTTCCTAGAATGAATTTATGGTGTTAATCACAGGGAATCAAATGATGAGACAGGGCTTCATCTTTTTACACTGTTTCAGGTTAACAACTGTTTGATTGGAATAACTTATTCTATTATCTGAGAAAAAATGAGCCACATATGCATTACAGGTTATATTACTTCTGTCATTGCTCATTAGTTCCTATTACTTTATGGTTACCATTTACCACTGGCAACTTGATGCTCTCCTTGTGTTTAGCAAACATTTTGTATTAAGCAGTGTTGGGACATCTGGAAACAACAGATTATTCCCAAGGATATTGATTTAATGATTATACTTTAGCCTTTGAAATTCTTGTTTCAAAAAAAGTCTTGCAAAGCCCATCAATTTTGTGCACATTATAGTCTAACTCAATGTTTCTCAAATTTGACAACCTTAAGATATGTGGACTTCAACTCCTAGAATTCCCCAACCAGGAAATTGCCAAGTTTGAGAAATACTGATCTAACTGTTCTGTGTTTTATTTCTTGACAATGGATGCTTTTATTTCAGTTCTTAGAAGTATTCATAGTTTTAGGCACCCCATCTCAATTTCTGCACAACATCCTCTCCCTTCTGAACACCCCCACCCACTATGTATATATTCTACTCTACTATACTGTAGCAAAGTAAGGATCCAAAAAAAGTAATGTACACAGAATCCTTATACTATACAATATTTCCCGTGGTAATAGATACATGTCATCAAATCAACTCCTAGAAAAGAGCCTACGACTTAATATACATTAATGTATTCTTCAGAGAAGAGATGGCAGGAAGATGAAAGTTTACCCTCCTAACAATTCCCGAATGCTTCTCTTGGAAGCATTCCATTCACTGAGGCAGAATTTATGTAAAAGCACCTCGGAGCAAGATTATTTTCTTCTTCTCTTGCCATTATGTACACGAAGATGCCAGTGCTTGCTTTTCAACTTCTTCAACCAACTTCTTCAGTTAGTCTGGGTCGCTGAAGAAGTATATGTAGAGTTTGCGCTCCATCTTCTGGAAGTGGCCCTGCAGATAATTTGTTTTGGGTCTCTAAGTTGATCGGGGTGTCCATTAGAATTTCAAAGACGTTAGCTTGTGTGATACTAAGTTGCTCCAGAGGTTCTATCAATTCCTGAGCACGAAGCATTAGCTGCTTGGAGTCACCATACATCAAATACTATAGTGCCTTGTTTTCAGACTTTAGTTTAAGATACTGAGTAAATGGGGTGGCTAGCTGTACTTGAAGCATTCGGAGTTCCTGGAACAATCATGAACCAGTGCTTGCCAAAGTCTCATATGAATGTGAAAATAGTTTCTCTTGATTGTGTTTGCCCAGCATCTCCACAACCGTAAGGTAGTGAGGTCACTAGGATCTATCAAAATCCGTGGCCATTGCTTAATGGAGAATCTTGAATCCTCAGAGCAGGATTGCCATTCTTCTAACTTAGACTGAGATTCTTTCAGGACAATCATCAGTCCCTCTAGCTTAGTTCCAGTCCATTGCAGATTCTTCTCAACATCAGCAAGAGTTTCAGCACCTCAAAGTGGCTGAGCTGGCCCAATAACTGGTCAATAGCTTCCTCTTGTACATGTTCAAGATACTCAAGTCTCATGTTTTCCAAGTCTAGTTCTCCATTTATTNATTGGCATTGACAAATTTGCCATTAGTCAATTGCAAAAGGCGGCCTTACTAGGAACTGCTTCCATCCTGCGACGATATCTGTAATACCATCAAACATCCACGTCTGCCTATCCCAGGTCCTGGGTAAGGACTCGATAGGTAGACAAAATGCCAAATCCAGTCTGAACATCTGGCTGACTGTGCAATGATCATAATAATAATACAACAACAACTTTATTGTCACTTTGAATGTACACCAATTAGCATACATCAAAATGAAATTTCGTTGCATATAGCTCTCAAAGGGTCACCACCTCCGATATACACTCCTTGTTCGTGGCCAGCTCAAGTTTCAGATCGTCCATTTTAGTCTCTAGGGAGCGAATGATGGCAAACAGGACAGATGGAAACAGAGCTCCATGTGGATTAGCCCTCAAATTAGCTTGTATTCCTGCACGACAACCTCGCCTCTCCTTTTTCTGATCCTGACTCTTCCTCCTTTTCCTTAAAGAGGCCTTGCTTCTTTTCGCCCCTGGAGCACGCTGCTACCGCCACCAACTCCTCCAAAAGCCTCTCTTCCTCTGGGCCTGCCGACAGCCTCATCCAGTTCCTTCGCTCCGTAAGTCCCGGGACCTCTCCTCCTCTTCCTCCTTTGGAAACAGCCCTGATTTGCAATAGAATCTGTTGCTGGGCCAGCAGTCAGATCTTGCTGCTGGCAGAACAATTTCAAACAGCGCCAATGACTTTTAACGGTCTCACCAACAGTTCTGAAACACCTAGAAACTCGCCATGCCAGCAAAGATTATCTGCACATATCTGAAGCTTGTCACGTTGCATTACTCGACATGCATATTGATTCTTCAGCATCTGTAGTTCTTGTTCAAGTAAATCAAGCGGTAGGGCTTCATTTTCTTGTAGCTCACTGTTCAGCTGAAAAAACTGGCTACATGTTCTTAACACTTTCTCCAATGCTTCACCTTCTAAAGTAGGCTTCCCAGAAATTACCAGTTTCTCATAGGCCTCTAGTTCTGTAGGAGTCAGCACATTCTCTTCTCCCACTGTGTTGCAAAACTATTCCAGAAATTGTTCTGTCTCAGGAACAGAAAAAGTCAGTCAAAGGCATTCCCACGAAAAATAGTTGCCTTGGGATAGATGGTTTTCAAGACCTTTACAAAGTCTGCTCTGTCAGTGGCCTCCATCAGGAAAGCTCTGGAGCATCTCTGTGTTTGGATTGTTCCTCTAACCCAGGGGTAGGCAACTTTGGCTCTTTTATGACTCGTGGACTTCAGCTTCCAGAATTCCTGAGCCAGCCATGCTGAGGGGAAAGGGAGAGCTGGCTCAGGAATTCTGGGAGTTGAAGTCAACGAGTCATAAAAGAGCCAAGGTTGCCTACCCCTGCTCTAACCCAAGAAGATTCCTTCCTGACAGTGGATAGTAGAAGGTTTCTCAAGCAAGTTTTTTTTTCTGGTTTTTTTAATAGAATCAGAATATCAGAAAATAAAGAATATTTTCTGATGTTCTTTATAGAAAATGTGGTTTATCATATCTCTTGAAGCAAGAGGAGAAAAAGGGAAAAAGAAGCAAGGATAGGGACTATTAATAAAACTAGCCATATTTATGTGTTACTTGTACAAAAGTTAACACAATAAATCAGAAAAGGACACACATTTCTAGCCCCGCCTTAACATGATGACTGATCTGTCTTTCTGAACATATTAACATTTGCAGAGTAGTCTTTTTGTGTCAGCATATCTACTTAAATGTAGGATTGCTGTGAGAGCAAGACAGCTGATTACTTGCGGTTTTAATTTATATAGACTCTTTATTCCTGCTTTACCCCCCCCCTAGGGATCACATGTTCCTAAAGCATGTAATTTAATGAAATTCACGCTTTGTTGATTCCCTTGTGTCCTGATGCGAGGACCATCACTGCTGGTAGGCAAATCAAGATCAAGACCAGCTGCAGAATTTTGGCAAGGAGATAACCTGTTGCTGATCTGAATTTGGCATTCCGGTTGGGCCTGCTGGGAGTTGTGCCATTCCAGATGTTGCTGAAGTCCAAATTGTCCATCTTTGTCCTAGAAAATAAGTTCATATAAACAATACATTCTCTTTTAATTGAACAGAACAGTTATAAGGTAGTAAATTGATGGGCTGAGCAAGACAGGCAGCTTATACAGAAGACAGTTTCACAACTGATGTTGCTGTTCCTTCTCTTCCTATATTACAGTCCGCTAAACTAAACTCCCTATAGGCCAGGAAAGCTTTCTGTGTCATATGAGCAATAATGTGAAAACAATTTCCTATATTTAAGGCTTCTTAGCCCAATGCATAAACTTTCAGCTTGGTACAAAATCACTCTTCCTGGTTTGGGCAGTTCTCCTTTGCCGCAATTCTTAATGACATACCGTAGCAGGAAAATCAGGACAGTTTTTATGGCAGTGTTTACTGTAATGCAAGGTTGACAAACTGATGAAGAGGAAAACTAACCAAGTTCGACTAGCCAAGTCACAGATGACTTAATAGCTACATTTGCATTTTCATTGAGCATATGGTGCTTGCGACAAATTTGTTGCTAAACCAGGCTTAAGGGAGTACTCTGGCAAATGAACATATCCTTTGCTTTGAAAAACACCTTTCATTGACTTAGAAAATCGAGAAGAACCAAATGTTAGTGCTGAATGGGGAATCTGTCCCCCTCTCTATACTGTTAAAGTGCACTTCCCAGCCTCCTTCATCGTGAGCCAGATTTATAATTTAGTAACATCTGGAAAGAATCATTTCTCCACCTTTGGCTAATGTATACACATTTATATACATTCTGTAACCAAATCCTCTTAACAAATTCAAGTTGATAATCTTGTAAACAGCTGGTAATCAAGGTTGTGACAATTGTCTACTCCTTACCCATAGATTTTCACTGTATACTTATGATAGCTGTTCACATTTTTTTCATAATTCCAGACATCTAATTATCTAAGATATCCATTTTAGATAAAAATGGCTAGAGAAATTGTTTTGACTCAGTTCTCCCCAACTTGGATGGGAGGTGATAGAAACGGTGGTTCAGCACATCAGGTAAAATTATGGAAAGCTCCTGAAACTCAATTAAAAGTGCCGAAACAAAAACCCAGATTTTGTATACTGGGCAAAATTTTGCACTGCAGGTTATAGAATCTGATACTAAAAAAAAAAAAAGCGATGATATAGGTTTGTAATATTGGTTTGCTTGGAAGACTTGTTAATTAAACTTCCCCCAACTACTTCAGCTCTCCTGTCTAACAAATTTGCACTGGAGACCTGGGGCATTTTGGAGGAAATACTGGAGTGGATAGAAGGGAGATTTATTTTTCATACAAGTCCTTTCGTGCAGCA